AAACTCGGAAACACTGTAAAGGAACATTTACCATACAGTGGCATCGAATAAATAAATTTTTCACAATATTTCAAGGTTACCAAAACCTGTAATTAAACCTCAATTGTAATTCACCCTTATCAAGCGAAGAGTCTTCCCTTTAACCATTCAAAAACATCGGCAATTCTTATCTCTCCCCCAAACATGCCGGAGATTCTACTAACTGTAGTAAAACAAATAAATAAAAAGATATCAATCGTTTCATTCAATCGAAACATTCTTCACCGTAGGTTATTAATAACCGGATGTCGAGCGTCACATTCCGCATGTTTAGGCTACTTTAGGCTACGCCTAAGATCTCCAGGCTGCCTCCTCTCGGCCACTCGAATCTCCCCCAACCTACTCCAACCTTCTCTAACGTGTCCCGTCGGTGCTCCACAGGCGGGTGCATAAATGTCGGCCGGCTCGTCCGTGTTCGACACGTGCAAGGACTCTCGGTGTGCCCGCGGTAGATCCGCGTTACGCCTCCGCTCTGCCACGCGTCCTCGACGTTACGCTCGGTAAAGAGGTCAGGGGGTGATGCATGAATGAACGAAGGTTGCGGCGGCGGCGGCGCGGGCTACGGTGGCGCCGCTAGCTGAAGACGGGACCACCTGGTAGCTGCGGGTAGCAGCAGGTAGCAGCAGACTGGAGCAGGCTGCAGTGAGCAGTGGACCGCGGAGGGTGGTGGGGGCGACGGGGGTGCACCGGATAGCGGGAAATCCCTGCAAATAGCGGCCAAGCGGCGCCCCCCTCCCCCGCCCCTCGGACGGGGGAGCGACCCTCCTTCCCCTCCCGCCAGTCGTGACGCGCGAGCGACCCTCCTTCCCCTCCCGCCAGTCGTGACGCGCGAGCGACCCTCCTCTCTCCCCTCCCCTCCCCACGACTCGCACCTACGCGGGGAAAAATGGCAAGGGGAAGCGTCGGGGGTAACTTCCGGACTTCCGGGAGGAGACGGTCACGGTTTCTGCAGTTCGTACCCTCGCGGTTCGACCATATCGAGGGGGAAAATATATTAGGTTATCCCGAATCTTCCCTTTTACAGGTGAATCTTCAAGTGGTGTCGCGAAAGGACCGAAAGGTAGAAGAAAGGGAAGAGAGAATGAGAATGCCAGCGGAATGAGAGGAAGGAAAAAGGGGGCGGAGGAACGACTTGGAATTGGGTAGAAATAGCGATTTGTCGGAGGTTCCTTGCCTTGGAATAACTTCTCGAGCGAGATACTTCCAGGGTCTTTTCTCTTTTTTTGGCTTCTTTGGCTATCCATAAAACGTGTGGTAGCGGTACAATTATTCGAATCGGATGATTGGTATTTATGTAGTCCTTTGGAGACGGTGCCAGGAGGTATTTGAGAGTTTAACGTGGGAATATTACATTTCCATGTTATTAAATCTCTTTAAAAAGGGGAAACGCGAGTCTCCGGATATCAACGCAGGAACGTAAAAATTAGAAAGGATTTCGGGCGATCGAGGCGGTGAAACCTATGCATAGCTTATATATATACTTTTTCGAAGTCGGTGCCAATACGTGTTCGTGGCTTCGATAGAGTATCCGGGGTCGTATATATCTTCGGCGAGAGGAAACGTAAACCACCTGATTTGGATTAACGAGTGCAAAGATTCACGAGGATTTCGTGCACATCCGTGAGGTCGGAAAGCGCGAGAGCGCTCCGTGGGTAAACATTCGCGGTAAACGGTCGTTTACGACCCCGGTTAACGTAATCCAATGACGACTGGGTTCAGGGTGGCGGGGTCGGGGGTGGGCGCCCCGGGGCCGCGCGGCGGCGTGGTCGGCTGACGTCACGGTAGCGACATCACCGCCGCGCGCCGACCAATGGGCTCGCCCGTGGCAGCGGGCCATCGATCCGCGGCGGGTATGACGTCCGCGGTGACGTCACCGGGGCGCCGTTCGCCGCTACACACGGTACGGTTTTAATATAGCGGCAAGCGGCGCGCGATCCGGACTCAGTTACGCGGAGACCGGCCTTCCGAGGGCGTCTCGCGACTAGGACTCGCCGCGACGGTGACCACCGGGCGTCCAGGACGCCGCGACGGCGAGCATCGGTGAATCCGGGACGGTGGATCTCGGGTTTCCTTCGACTGTGGAGAATTAATCGCGTCGGTCGCGAACTCGGGCGCGGGTTAACGACCACCCCGGAGTGTGCCGACGTCGAGCGGCGGCCCCCAGGAGGCGCGTCCGCCCTCCGCAGAGGACCGGCGCGGAGTGACAGCTGTCAGCTGATCGGGCGGCGCTCGCGCTGTCACGTGGCCCGGGAGCGCGGGAGCCGGGCGGCGCTCAGGCTGTGCTCGGGCCGCGCCCGGGCTGCGCTCGGCCGGTGATCGGGACCGCCCCAGCCCGCGGAACCGCATGCGGGTCCCCAGGACCGACCGGTTCGCTCTCGTCGACGGGACGATCCCTTCCGCCGAGAGGAGGTCCTTTCTGCCGAAGGACTTCTGCCCTATGACGCTTGCAGGTCGGTCACCAAGCGGGTCGCCCTTTCCTCCCCTGTCTCTCGGTGTTGTGCGCGCTCTTACCCCCTTGGCCGGGGCTTTTATTTTCGAAAGTTGGATCCCTGCCGGTCGGCACCGGGCCGAGCGTGCACCGACCTCCGCTCGTTTTGCTCCGCCGGGCCAGCTCCTCAGGGTCTCATCCGATCCTCGACCCCTGATACGGATTCGGCGACGCGCGGGCACGACTTCCTCGGTGCCGCCCCGGCCCCCGGTCGATCTTTCGAAAATTAGATACTTGCAGGCCGCGCTCGATACCTCCTCTTACTTTTGGAGCTCGTCGTGCGTCCAGTGACGTAATCGGTCCTCGTCTCTGTCCGCCGATCGGAACCTCGGTCGGTCCGGGTCTTATCGAGGAGTTATCGGCCGCGGCGATCCCCTCGTCTCTGCATGCCCGATATCGATCGACCTTATCTACATATCTTCTTCGGTGTCTGGGGTAAAAAGTTTAAGGAACTCTTTCCCTGCGCGGAGTAGGTCTTGGTTACCTCTTCACCAATTTCCTGGTACTTTTGGTATTATCCATTTTGGGGTGGGATCTTTGGCAGCTCGTTTTTAATGCCGGGGTTTCTTGGAGGGTTCATGAAAAGTGGACCATCCGAGCAGAAGTTCGTGCAGAATTGTTTTGGTTCTGGGTCTCCTGATAGTTTGGAGATGATTCGTTCTTTTACCATCGGCTTCCGAGTTGCTGCGGTATTTTTTTTTTATTTTTTTTTCAGTCGCCCTGGCTCTCGGCACGCGCGGCGGTGGGGTCTTAAAGGGATACGACGGTATCCGAGCGTCCCGTGACCCTGAAGGCCGAGCCACCCCCTGTACGGGCCGAGGGCGCCCACCGCATGCGCCCCTGGTGGAACCGTGACCTCCAAAACTATCCAGGAAATCTGAACCAAAGTTCTTTTTTTTTTCCTTTTCTCTTGCGCCCTTGGTGGAACCGTGACCTCCAATCTGTGCGGGTGAGTCGCGGCTAACTCTTTTTAACTCTTTCTGTGCTCCTGATACTAAATCTTGACCCCCAAATAGCCGAATAGAAGCGTGGGAAGTGGCTCCGGGTGTTCCGGATCGAGCATCGCGATAACCATAAAAGAAAATTCGACGGTCGTTCGCCATCTCCTAGGTGGAATGAATAGCTTTCTGGTACACAATGGATCTAATCTGCTGGATAGAAGTCGTAGATAAGAGGCCCAAATGAATTCATACGACCACCTTTCCGCTGTACTAACGAAACTCCTGGTACTCTCTACAGCTGATACGCAAATCAAATCTGCTTGTCGGGAAGATTTCTTAAATGACATCTTCCCGCAGGTGTGTAACAGTTCGCTGACCTCCTCGCTAGCGTAACAGACCTTTTAATACTCTCTATACCTCCTGATACCCGATTTAATTCTACATAATGGACATTTACGAGGATATCGGACATTTGAATAACCTCTAAAATCTCGAAGACCTTCTTGCTGCAGGAACGGCCCTCCTGATACTCTCTATATCTCCTGATACCGGATCCAAAACAAATCTACATGTAGAAGTCAGATGCACAAGATTTAAATGACACGACATAGATTTTGAATAGGTATTCGGAACCCGATGACCTCTAAAATCTGGACGACCTCCTTTAACTACCTCCTTTTTAAAATTCTTCCTGATACTTAAACACCTCCTGATCTACTCAGATATGAACCGTGCATGCAAGGCCCAACCGGAATCACCCGACGACCTCCTGCGTTCCTGCAGGTATTATCCTAAACCTCCTGATACTCTCTATACCTCCTGATACACAAATCAAATCTACATGTAGAAGTCAGATGCGCAAGATTTAAACGACACGGCATAGATTTTGAACAGGGATCCGGATTTCAGTAACCTCTAAAATCTGGACGACCTCCTTTGGTTACCTACTTTTTAAATCTCTTCCTGATACTCTTAACGCCTCCTGATCTACTCATAGGAACCGTGCATGCAAGGCCCAACCAAAATCACCCGATGACCTGCTGCGTTCCTGCAGGTATCATCCTCAACCTCCTGATACTCTCTATACCTCCTGATACACAAATCAAATCTACATGTAGAAGTCAGATGCGCGAGATTTAAACGACATGGCATAGATTTTGAACAGGCACCTGGATCTCAGTAACCTCTAAAATCTGGACGACCTCCTTTAGCTACCTTCTTTTTAAAATTTTTCCTGATACTTTAAACGCCTCCTGATCTACTCATAGGAACCGTGCATGCAAGGCCCAACCAAAATCACCCGACAACCTCCTGCGTCCCTGCAGGTATCTTCCGGACACCTCCTCGTTCGCGCTGTGCGCCTGACATTTCGAGTCCTGGTACACCGAGGCGCACGTGTCGCGAGCAACCTATAGGGGAAACTTCCTCGATCTGGCCGCGTTATGGGCACTGGAGAACTTAGGAGGTAGCTGCACCTCGCGGGCCCACTTAGGACAGAAAATGAGGAAGTGACGGAGCGACGGAGGGGCGCCATGCGTACCGTCGAGGACGTCGGTCCGCGCTCGACGGCGCCTGCCGTCGGGCCGGTCGACCTCGGCCGCAACCGCGACCACGGGGCCAGCCGCGGCGGTTCCGCTACCGATTCCGCTACCGGTTTCCCGCACCCCGCGCCCTACCACCCGGCCACCCTTGCGGCGGACTCGAACAACAACCACGACCACCATCGGAACTTCGAGTCCACCGAGCCCGGTGACGTCCGACGTCACGAACATTGGAGCAAGTGTAAGTCCGATTATTTACACGATTCTGCTACCAGAGGGAGAGTGCTCGCTGACTGGCTTAGTTTACACCGATATGTGTACTAACGGTGTCGTTTTATCAGACTATCGATGTAAACAATGATGTGCGTAGTCGGCACGGTCTGCACATTTCGGGTGGACACGATCGTTTACTCTGACAGCTTGATCAATCCATGTGTTTGGTACACATATAAATTTTCGGTGTAAACTAAGCCAACTTATCGCGGCGATCTACTTCTATAGGAGATGGTGGTGATGGTGGTTGTGGTGGTGGTTATGATCCTGGTGGTGGTTATGGTGTAGGTCTGCCGGGTGGGGACTAATAGTTGGCCCTGCAATTAGGTCGAAGGGGGGTTATGTTGTGGCTCTTGGATTGATTTTCCCGGTTTTGGATAGCGCAATTAGTAATTCTAGAAACTTTTGAAGTCGTTATAAGTTTAGGATAAAGGCTTTCACGGACGCTTCGCATAGCAAGAAGAATTGAACGCTCAAATTGCTGTATTAGAATATCCGCAATTCGATTGGCTGGTTCTTATTGTTATGCTTTCCGTTATGCTTACGCGAGATATCTGCGAAGGCCTTATGGTCTTGTTCAGATATATCGCGTAATAGCAACGACAAGTACAGCGGAATGAGTTAGTCGATCAAACTGCCGAACATCGACGCCATATTGAATTTCTTGCAGTTTGACCGGGCAATTCTTACGTCTATAGTTGCACCATGTTAGAGTTATCTGTAAAGGCCTTAACTCGGAAATTAATGCCGAGATAAATGTATTTGAAGGATTCAACTCGACTTTACAAGACGCGATTTTGGTTATTTCGAAGCCGATCTAAATCAACGTCGTCTAATCAATGACAGTGGACTGAATGAACGTAAAGTTAGGTTAGGTTCGAGTCAACCAAAGGTGAAAAATCTAATTCAGCTCCATAAAACACGGCTTCGGTCGACTTCAAGCGGGTTTAACGATGTTTTTCTTTTTCGTTTTTCATTCAGCGGACGGTAATTGAACCAACTGCGTGAATTGGATGAACCAAAGTTGGTTAGGTTAGGTTCGATTCAACTTGGGTTCGCTCGATGCGAATCCATTTAATCGAATTAACCGAATTTAGGAGGTTCGACCTGACATTGTTCATGGAGATTGCTGACGAGGGCGGTACACGTTGCACAGTGGGTCTAATTAAATATTCGTTTGGCAAAATGCAACTTTTGGCAATAATTAAAAATTTCTTTTAGTGTCTCGGGTTATCCGACAGTTCTTATATAATGCTTTTTTACGTTAACGTTTAATGTTTGCACATTCTGTCCAAAATGTACCAATAATTACATCACCGATTGTTATGTTACGCGTTGATGTGTCGCGCCCCCAAAGAATGTTTATACGGCACAATAATTACAAACGGTTATTGTACTAAATAAAACAAATTCGTGAAGAAGTTTCTACGTTATTGCTTTACATTTGTTGCGATATAAAATGCATAATGGAAGATAATATATATTTTTGCTAAAGAATATTTAAATTGATCCACCGTTCGTCGATGCAATCGTCCGTCGTATGGACTATGACGTTGAATTACATACGTCATATTATATTTGTTGCGATATAAAACGCATAACAGAAGATAATATATATTTTTGCAAAAGAAAATTTAAATTGATCCACTCTGCGTTGATGCGTCCATCGTGTGGACTATGAGGTCGAAATCTGATTTTCTTTGTTATCCCCCCCGCGGTTTCTATCACCGTTGAAGCACGGCACGTAAAGGTGCGCAAAGATGAGAGTCTACGGAGAGTGAGATCCCGCGGATCGCGGAGAGAGAACCAGGGATTCGATGACGGCGTACATTCTAATCGAAGATAAAAGTGAGAAGCAAAGGTCAATAGGTGCGTCCCGCAGGGTTAGCTCGCCAGAGAGAGAAAGAGCGAGAGAGAGGGGGGCGTGATTCTCCGGGAAGGGAGGAGGTGAACGTGAGAGACAGGCCTCCGATCATCCTCTGGACCTTCTCGCGGGATGCTGCGATCTCGCCATCGCGCCGACGATCCGCGGCCGTTAAGAAATGAATAGCGGCATCGGTTATTACCAAAGTCTCATTGTTACTTAAACTGACCTAAAGTTGCTTAAAGTTTTCTTGAGTCCCCTACAATCTTCGAAGGTTGCTCAAAGCTTCTCTGGAATGACCTGAAATGACCAAAAGTTGGCCGAAGCGTTACCTAAGACCACTTAAAGTTACCTAAATTGTCTGAAATTATCTGAAGTTGCCTAAAATTACTTACGATTACCTAAAGGACTCAAAAGCGAGTCTTCCGGGGTTGGATCGAGCTTGGATGATGGGGACTTTCATCCTGGGCATGAAATAACAGATAGTGAGATCAAGTACGCGTGAAATTTGAAATTCCCATTAACTTATGTCATTGGATAACGTGTGAATAGTATTATTCGGGTACGAGGATGCTACTTCGGAATTTGAATTTATTCCAATCTTTCCCATCTAATTGGATGAAATCGGACGTTTGAGTAAATGCGGATATTCATTTCGGGGGTTTTTTGGGAAGTAGCTGATTTCTGATCGTCTTTGTCGCCTCCAGTGGCAACGCCAGTACCGAAAGGGGATCCTCGGAGTTATGAATTGAATTTATTNTCGAGCTAGGTCCTGAAACCCTTTATTTTCGATTCTGAGCCTCCAAGAAACGTAAAACATCGAAAACGTACACGGACCACGCCATGGTTCTAATCCACGATAAATAAATTAATTTTTCATAAAAAATGAAATTTCATGAGTTTCAGGACCTACTTTAAGGTTTCCATACTCACGTGGTAAAATTTGAAACGAAACGTGGTAAAATTTGAAACGAAACATGGTAAAATTTGAAACGAAACGTGGTAAAATTTGAAACGAAACGTGGTAAAATTTGAATTCGGTGCATCCAATTTGGGGAATACTTTCCCCAACGATTTGACATCTCAGATACATATAAAATGACTCTTCCATATCACCTTAAGGATTTTGGATTTCAACGCTTCGAATTCGCTTTCCGGATGTGGCTTGCCAGGACACGTAAGCCGACTGCATTTTCCTGCATTGCGACCCGTCGTTCGCCCGTCACTATTGATTGCAACTATCGACTATATACGCTGCGCACGTTTATCGTTTCATTGCCACGAGAAATTGTTGTATAGGAAGGAAAGGAATAGACAGACAATGTGAACTCGGCGCCGAGACGAGACGATTTGGAAGAGCATATATGAAGCAGAATGTTGCCTTTTGAAAATTGTCACATCTTCCTTTGGGAAGATTGGAAATTGAAAGTAGAATGGTAATCCGTCGTTTCCTATCAAGATGGCGGCCCTGCTAACTACTGATTTCTTACCCTAAGAGCTACTCGATAAGTCCGGTGACCAGAAGAAGTTGAATCCAGCATCCGGAATCAGGTCGAAACCTCCGAGAGTTGACCTATGGGGAGTAACCTTCGAAAGGAAGAAGTTCGGAAGGGTAAAAAAGGTTGATCTAAGGGCAAACCTGGGACATAACACGAGGCAGTAAATGTCGGATCTTCCTTTCAACTCGGATGAATGGCTTCGTAAGTCGAAGAAACAAAGGAAAAAGAGAAGGACGTTTCGAAGCGTGGGTCCTATTGCCGATCCTAGCTACGAAGCCGGGGAAAAACACCGAAAAGAAGGAACAAACGAGGACCCAAAAAGGGGAAAAAAGGAAATAAGAAAGACACTTCTTATTTTGCCTGGCAGGACCTCGAAGGAGTCTCCGCGCCTCCTAGACACTCTTGGAGCCGTGGGGACCAGCTTTGGCAATTTCCCTTCCCCGGTAAGAAAAGAAGTAAAACAAGAAAACTCGAGAAAAAAAGAAGGAACGCGAACTAAAGCCTCGAAAAAGTAGAAAAGACGTCCCAACATTTACGTGGCGAGATCTCGAAGAAGTCCCCCCTACTTTTCGGAACCTTTCGAAGCGCGGAGATCGGTCGGCTATTTTCTTCTCCTCTAGAAAAGGATGGGAAAAGGGATTAATGAAAATCTAAAGATTTATAAAAAAAATAAAAGATGTGTAGAGGACTTCTCGATCTCGCGTGGCAGGACCTTGGAGGAGCTTGTGCGTCACTTGGAAGCTTTTCGAAGCGCCAGGACCAGTCGGCACTTTCCTTCCTAGCGGTGAAGGAAAGTGAAATACCGAGAGGCCACTCGGCTGGCATAGACCAGGGAGAAGAAGAGACGGTACTCGCTTCCTGGAGGTCGACTGCATTGTTCGCGGCCCGACTAAAGATAGTTGAACGCGCGCGGCGCGCGAGCCGCGACTTCTTCGCCCGAGCCCCGCTTAACTTTTTATCCCTATTTTCGTTCCGATTTTTATTTCCCCCCCGTTCTCCCTCGCGAGCAGCGGGTCCGTGTTACGCCACATTTCACTTTGTCTTTCTCTTCTTTCGCGAGGTCTAAACGCGCTCCTCCGCGAATTAAGACGGCGCGCCCCGCCGGTTCGTTCACCTCTCCACTTCGCGTGATACGAGGGCACGAATCGGCTTTTCGACTCTTTTTGGATCGGCCGGATGTTCTTTTGGACATAGGATACATAGTCCCCGAACCAGTGTACCGACCATCGAGACGGCAAATCGGAAAGAGAGGGTACAATGGGGCTCTTTCCTTACTTTAAACCCTCTTTACGCGAAGTAGTTCCGCAAAGTAACATGGCGGCAGTCTAGTATCAAAAGCGAGATAAAATGGATCCGACTATGAAGAGCCGAAAAAAAGAAAAGGACCCATTCCTTCCTCCTTCTCTCTCTTCTTATACGTACGCAGAAAAAGTAGCCGCGAAACGGGCGGCAATCCTTCAAAGAGATACAATATACAGAAAGGGATTATCATTTTATTAACTGTAGTTGTATATTATATCCTGTTTAGGGACTGGCGCCTGTTTCACGGCTCGTGGGGTAATATTTAATGCTACTTTTTTCTCAATACGGGGTAGTTTCACTGCG